CTAGGCCGTCCGTGCTCGAGGTCATCACAGCACGCTGGCGTCCACCCTCAAGGGTGAAGACGCCGACAGTAATGTGGGAAGAAGAACAGAATCCGGCTTCAATGGGCGTAACAGAGATCACGTCCGAGCGTTTGGCTGGCGGTTGATCATCGGGTGAGCTCGCACTGCTGGAGCAACACGGTACTGGACCAGTACTCTCTCCGGAAGCTGCAGATCTACACCGAGCCATGTCAAAATTGGGATGTACCAGTGAAATTTGAGTCGGGGGAGGACGAAATGCATCTTTGTTCCGCTGGCAGTAGACCATCCAGTGATCTATCAGTGCTTGAGCGGCAGACTACTGGACCGGGACTCTATCCGGACGCTGCAGGTTCATCCCGACTGATGTCACGGGCGAACCTCGTCACTGTGGCTAGACGCGAGTAGGATGCTCTTGGATGTTTACGAGAAGCCAAAAAGAGTCCAAATTCGAGCAGCTCGAATTGAGCTCGAATCGAGCTCGCTCTCCGCGGGTACGTTCTCCGTGCAACATAGGAGAGGCCCTCTCCTATGTTGACCTTATTACTAAATCAGTAGTATGATGTGTCGGTCTTCTTCCGTCGTCTTCGGGTTTCGGTACTAATTAGTAGTACTAAGTTAGTACTACTAATTATCCCTGTTGCGATATGACACTAACTAGAAGTTAGCCCTCCACTAAACTAACCAAATCCCTCACCAATTGTCGTACCAACGCAAGTAATACTCTCTGGCACTCTCTACCCTCTGAGGAGACATATACAACATGAGTATACGTAAGCCTGTTTTAGTTCGCAACAACTGATATTACAAGCGAAACGTTCGCTCCGAAAGAAAAGGAGAAAGGAATCAGTAACGACAAGCTAAAGCGGAAGTTAGGCAGAGCAGGAGCAACGCTCATCAGTGCCGAAGCACACGGGCTCATTAAGCCAGTACTTGCAATAGGAGCCAGCATGGTTCTTCGCACAGATCTTATCCGCCTGATCACAAGGGTTAGTGATCGGGGTAGTGGTAGGAACGGCAGTAGTCGTGGGAATGGGAGTAGTAGTAGCATCGTCAATGACGGTAGTTCCATCCTCGAAGATGCTGTTCAACAGCCAGGCGAAGCGAACACCACCCTTGGCAAGCTGCTCTCTAACAGTCTCAATACGAGTAGTATAGTAGTCGAATGAGAGGACATCACCGCTCTCTACAGGAGTGCCATCAACGTTAGTGTAGGCCATACTGCAAGCCACTTCGGCATCATCTTGGAGCATGGTATTAACACACTCGTCGATACCGTTAGTCTCGCAATCCTTCAGCCAACCGTCAACCTTATCGGCGTACTTACCACCAACCATCAAATCAACACCAATAGAATCAACGATGTTGGTCCAGAAGCGGGTACGGTCGATTCTCTGGATCTCGTCGTCCTCACCGGGGTGATCAGCCGGATCGTCCTGGAAGACATACTGGCCGGGGTAGCGCTCAAGCTCCCATTGATCGAGAATGCTAAAGTCCCAAACAGAGTGGAGGTTGGTGCTCTTGTTGTTGGCGAAGTCCGTGGTGACGGAAATCTTGTTACCAGCATAATCCTCGATGCGACCAGCATGAAGAGGCTGATGAATATCACCCATAAAATGAACGAGGAACTTCATAGCCACCTGACGCTCATAACGAGACAAGGACTCGTCAGCAACCCTCCTGGTGTAATTCTTGATGGCACCAGCAACACAACGGTCCTCCTTGCAATCTCGGTCGTAAACAAACGTGCAGTTGATCGTATCAGCGTAATGAAGATCAGACGACCATCCCCATTCCTCCTTCTCTTCGGGAGTACCGTGAACGATGAAGTCAGGCCAGCTAGAGAATTCTCCAAGGCGGACACCATCACCCATGATAGCGTTAACGGCCTGTCTGGCATTCACTGAGAGACGATTGTCACCAACCTCAGCAACGGTAGAATGTCCATCAACACCCCAGGCAGAGACACATGGAACTGTGATGAGTGCGAGAGTACACAGACGACTGAACATAGTACGAGTAGCAACAAGGAACTACCGCAAACATTACATAGCATGGAGGCCAGCCCCATGAAGAGGGTAAACTAACATCGTCCGAGCTCACTAAACTAACCTATAGCGTCAATGACGAATACCAAGTTACTTAATGACTCATTCTAGTAAGAAGAGAGTTCCCAGGTGCCATCCTGAAGAGCCTTCGGAGGAAATGTCAAAATATCATACGACATCAGCCAGTGAAAACATCGGGAGAAATCCAGGTGAGAGTGTCAACGTGCAACAACCAGTGTTTAGCGAATCACAATCCTAACACAAAAATTGTCTCCCTGCTATCAGCGATGAACTCAAAGGATATCAATGAGATTAACTCACGTTCATCCGAGTGATTTTCAACTCAAAACATTTCTTCGACCTCAACAGTAGCCTCAACTGAATCAGAACCGATCCGACTGTGTTATAGGCGCAATAGAAATTTGAATTCCCAAAAGAGAAAGCATAGCATAGATATCATCTACTATAGATACAAAGCAAACGTACTCGAAACGAGAACAGGAAAAACCAAGAAGCCCGTGAAGGACTCCAACATCGAGTCGCGAGAACGTACACATACGAAAAGAAATCCCAACATACTGCTGTAAACGGTTGAATTAAAAGTCAACCCCAGTAGTAGAGGACTGGGCAGAGCAAGAGCATGGCTTGTCACTGCCGGAACACACTGGTTCATCGAGCCAGTACTTGCAGTAGGAACCCTCGTACGACTTGGCGCAGAGCCTATCAGCGTCCTCACAAGTCATGTAAGGAGTAGTAGTAGGAACAGCAGTAGTCGCAGGGATTGGCGTTGTAGTAGTAGCATCGTCAATGACGGTAGTTCCATCTTCGAAGATGTTGTTCAACAGCCAGGCGAAGCGAACACCACCCTTGGCAAGCTGCTCTCTGACAGTCTCAATACGAGTAGTGTAGTAGTCGAATGAGAGGACATCACCGCTCTCCACGGGAGTGCCATCAACGTTAGTGTAGGCCATACTGCAAGCGATATCAACATCATCTTGGAGCATGGTATTAACACACTCGTCGATACCGTTAGTCTCGCAATCCTTCAGCCAACCGTCGACCTTATCGGCGTACTTACCACCAACCATCAAATCAACACCAATAGAATCAACGATGTTGGTCCAGAAGCGGGTACGGTCGATTCTCTGGATCTCGTCGTCCTCACCGGGGTGATCAGCCGGATCGTCCTGGAAGACATACTGGCCGGGGTAACGCTCAATCTCCCACTCATCGAGAATGCTAAAGTCCCAAACAGAGTGGAGGTTGGTGCTCTTGTTGTTGGCGAAGTCTGTGGTCACCTTAATCAAATTACCACCGAGGTTGGAAGAACTTCCAGCATGAAGAGGCTGATGGATATCACCCATGAAATGAACGAGGAACTTCATAGCCACCTGACGCTCATAACGAGACAAGGATTCGTCGGCAACCCTCCTGGTGTAATTCTTGATGGCACCAGCAACACACCAGTCGTCCTTGCAGTCTCTGTCGTAAACAAACGTGCAGTCTTGGGAATCAGCATAGTGCAATCCGGCTGACCATCCCCATTCCTCCTTCTCTTCGGGAGTACCATGAAGGATGAAGTCAGGCCAGCTAGAGAATTCTCCAAGGCGGACACCATCACCCATGATAGCGTTAACGGCCTGTCTGGCATTCACTGAGAGACGATTGTCACCAACCTCAGCAACGGTAGAATGTCCATCAACACCCCAGGCAGAGACACATGGAACTGTGATGAGTGCGAGAGTACACAGACAACTGAACATTTGGAGCGACCAAAACAAGAAACTGCGATGATCAGCCGGTCTAACATCATTCACACTCCCACTGCAAATCTCAATCATAAATCCAAGCAAAGAGCGTCCATGCGCCGCGCTGTGAAGGCTAGGCTGCAGTATCCTTCCGCTATATCGAAGTTCCAGTCGCATCTGCCAACGATGAGAATCGAGGTTAGTCCCCATGGTCACTTTTCTCTGGGGAGATTATCATCCCTGCCAGAGCAATGAATTACTCCACTGTGATAGTCTCAGATTGCCGCGTATCAGGCCGTGGCATTTCAGCTTGTGACACATGTCCCACTTGAGGCTAGCAGGAGGAAAATTATCGATAGAAGGGCGAAGATCATAGAGAGGTCTGATCTCATTATTCGGTCGTATCTCGGGGACTGTCGCTGGTAAAAGACTACGCGTGCAAACGTGAAAAACGTGAATTTCGCTCCGCTGCTCATGCCATACCACTCCTTTCTCACATCATGTACGGAGAGCGCCTGTGGTGATCTACGAGATGGCATCCTTGTAGGAGCAGAGAAGCGCCTTGCAGAGATACACTTTCTGCTAGTTGAAGACTACTCGAATTCCCGTCTTAGTGATATGACGGTCAGTCAGGCAATATTTAGGGCGCCCGTTACTGGAAAACTTTCAATGAGAATTGCTCTCAGGTCAAATAGGGTGAAAGAGATGAGTGTCCGATGTTTTAGCAGTATCATCCCAAGAGGATGAAATACTGTCATCATCACCATAGTCAACTTCTTCATTACCGAATTTACCAACACAACTCTGTTGATAATCTCGCAAGAGAGATGGAAAAAAACTTAACTTGATCACTTCCGGGACTTTGCTCTAAACTACTCCAACCATTTCATGATGAATAGCAGAGTATCAAAATCTCAAGACAGCAAAATTGTTCTAGAGATCGAATGATAATCCAACAAGGGCGAGCTTCTGTGAAAACACGGACAACAATTGTGTGAATTATTTCGTAAGAACGTGACTACAATGCACTTTGTCATAACCAAAATCAGCAAAGAATCAACGACGATAGGGCACTCCGGAAGAGAAGTGGAGTAATCATCTAATCGCCAAGGAAAGCAATTCACATCGATGCCCTCTGTTGCGCGCCGCCTCCGCCGATTAGCCCTCAACACAACACATTCAGTTCGCCCCCGAGTTTGACGTGCCTTCACACCCACGTGGCCATCAGCCAAAGCGGATGGGCTTAAATCACCGATAGCAGTGTTACGGAACTCGTACAAGCAGGTAGCAAGATCTAAAAGCGCTTGCATTTTCGATCACTCTCGAAAAAACACATCTCTTCTTCAGCCAGCGGAAGATCACGTTTCAAATTCTCGTTGAGGGCAGCAGCTGAGCCATCCAGGTCCTTCCCGGAGGGTATCTTCTCGGGGAGGAATCGTACCAGAGCTTGCTTGATACAGAGACGCATTGTGCCCAGCTGCACAGAGGCTCGGCCGTGGCTATCCACTCCACATAGGATGCCAACTCCATACGGTGTTTCAACCTGACCACCAACACGAAAGTGCCCAGAACTTCCCCACGTGAAACCCCCGGTCACCAGCGTTCCGTTAGCTCTGGGGTCCTGGAACTGCGGCAGATGATCGATCTTCTTGAGGTATTGCTGTGCCTCCTCGCAGACTCTCTCAGGATCACTGAATGTCATCTCGCAGGAGTTGTCAAATAAACTGATTTTAAAACTCGTCAGAACTAATCGAGTTTTACGAGTGGAAATCTATCCCAGAACTGATTCTGCCTCCCGAAATTGATTCACGAGTGAAATATGCACATGACCAACTACGTGTGTTGGTGACAATGGGAAGATTTTCAGCAAATCTCGAAGAATTTCTATTGGTTTCTGCACACTTCTACCCTAAATGTGCAATCTCCTATAATAAGTGAAAATGCTCCTGAGCTCAGCTGAGAAAAGTATAGATATATTCCAACACTGCGAGTGGTAGGAGGTACCTCCCTCAATGAGGCATCCGGAAGATCTTCAGTACTCCAACCAGAAGCTCAAGAAACGCCACAATCAATGAACCACATGGCTACAGCCAGCCTGAACAGCTGAGTCTAGTTTAGCGTTGGAATATATGTCCGCTTTCTTCAGTTGAGCTAAAGAGTGTCCTCACTAGTTATACAAGTTTGCATACGAATTGGGGTAGAAGTGTACAGAAACCGACAAAATTTTCCTCAATTTTCCTCAGAATTTCCACAAATATCTCCTACACCTGCAGTTGACCATGTGCATATTTTCCCACACCGGACTTTTTCACCCAGAGCTACAACGTCCCAACGCTCGCAATAAGGACGCTCTACACAACCATTGGCTTGCTGAAAAAGTCGCCATGAAATCTGATGGCTAATTACAGCTGTGTCCCAACATCTAAAGAGCGAGCTGTGGACTTCTGCGTGTGCGTGCATGGGTAGCATCTGGCGAAGACAAGGTGTCCATATTTTCTTATATCATTCGATTCGGTGGACTTCACTGTATCAGAGAATGCCAATATATATTTCATATCGATGCTATATATGTTTATCATCGACTGTCTCAGAAAACGTATGTAATTTGCAAAAAGCGCGCGCCCCATGATGCAGAAATTACAATGTAGAGTTTCCTGTACGCGTACAGAAAAGGAACAAAACTCTATATAGTGAGAGAAGATCGTCTCACCCAAGAAAATGATAGAAATCGTAGCACTGACTGCACACACGTTGCAAAGCTGCTTTGCCAAAGCACCTTGCACATCCGTGCAAAAACACAACGTTCCAAACGGACCAACAACTACACAAGCCTCATATCGCACTGCAATCGCCATTGTCCAATCCACCGCAACATTCACAGCACTCAGGGAACTATCGTACATCTCGGGCGTGCGCTCCTAGCTCATAGTTTGCACCTCCTAGCACTGCGTGCCCTTCAAGAAAGAAAGAACAATTAATAAGTCTCTGAAGGAATGGACCTCCACACAGGAAGAGGAGACAGTCAGAGAGTAGGCTGAGATACAATTGCCACAAACAACGTTCACAGGTGTCTGAAGGGAGTGATTTTCCGGGAATAAATGCCCGGCAAATTTTTTAGTATCATTCGATAGAGCATACCGTGAGGAGTGATAATATACAGATATCTACGTTGTAACCCACAGGATTAATGATTTATTCCAGAGCTGGGGGTTCACCCATTGTTCGTACTAGGACCTCATGTGATTAGCCCTCTCAACTCTCCAAG